ATGACCCTATGGGCCTAAAAGGTTCATTCATGGAATTCAGGAGCTGGTGGTGTAGCGTAGTACTACAGGGTCAGTCAACTCCCGGAGTCCCTGCTGGGATCAATATCAGAGGTCTTTCATCCTGTGGAATGTTCACCAAGCCATATGGCTGGGGAGGGTAAAAAGGTCAGACAAGAACTCAGTGATATGCATGGATCTACATAAGTATATAATAAACAAAAGTGTATTGTTCCCTAGTGAGATATAAATATGTATCAAATTGTATTAATATGTCGCATTTCAGTTCAATGGTACATTGTGTACACCAAAACACGTTAGATCACAGAGATTTTTAATTTACCACCGAGACAGGTTGAAGATAATACTCTTTGCAACCTGAGCAATGTCCAGTAGCCGTTGTAATGAAGATATATAGTTACAAAGTGATTCTGACTAGCGCCTGTCGACAACTGTCGGGGAGTAGGTTTGTTTATACAGAGTGGAGAGTGTGCCTTCAAATACATGTATCAAATTTTACTGCGCAGGGGACAATAAGCTGTTTTTGAAACATTGGAAATTATCGCATCAGCTTCTTTCGAAAGAGGTTCACTATAGTAGATTTTTAGTAGTGTTTTCTGAAATTCTGCTGTATTTTAGACGGGTTTTATACAATTAATGAATAAATTATTGCTTCATTGGTTTAAAAGGAAGCTCGTGACTTGATTTCTCGTTTATTAAACATGACAGATATCTACTGATGTTGATGTGATTTTTTTTATTGATTGTTGTTTTTGTTCTTTCTTGTGATTTTTCTCTCTTTAATTTGCTATCTTCACTGCTCTTCCCTCTTCTTCATCCCATGAGGATGCAGAAATCACATTTGGAAATACATATACAACACATAAGAATAATTACAGTTGTTATTCAACCATATTATTGTAAGATAAAATTTGCTCCTCTTAGGTCAACCCCAGTCAGAGTTCTAACTCATACCAGTAACTGTCGATAATGACATTGAACCCTTTAGGAAGCATACCGTGATAATAGTGAGAATGACTAGCCATGTAAGAGACATATATATGAATTTTCGTTTCTTCTCAAGGTAGAACTTTCTTACTGTGTTTTGACGATTTCAAACTACTACAAAACAATTTGAGATTAGAAATGAAAAAAAAAAAAAATAAATAAAAGCAGTGTTTATATATGTTTCTTGTTTTCATTGTATTGTACATGTGTTGATATTCAACATGCCCATTCTATCGACTGTCCGTTATAACATGTGGACGCAGTGACTGTCAGCGCCTCGTGGTATCCTTGTATGGCCGATATCTCTGTGCCAAAAAGACCACCTCATGGTATCATGAAACTGTTTTGGGGCACTAGTTAGCTGTATGGAGGTATATAGAGATATACAACTGTAAAACAAGTAGTCATTACTATCATAAAAGGTGTTTCCACAGGAGACGAGACTGTCTAGTCATTTGATGATAGATATGGTACGACAAGTACTTCAGATAACTTTGTTTTAAATTTTTGCTTCAAATTTAGAAAAGATGTCAATGCTTAATGATAGTTTGATTCATACCGTTTGTGTTTTGGCTGTGCATGCAATGAATGCACGGAATGCTGTGGTTTGTAAAAGATACGGAATGCTACATTTTTATTGGACCGAGAACAAACGAAACGCATAAGCGCTATACACCGCACAAATCTAACGGGTGAAATGAAATACGTCTGCACCAATTAAACATACAGCCTTCTATCACATCATGCCATCGTTGGTGTTCGTTTTCAAATGAAGCTGAGGACTTATTTCGATTGTCGTATTACTTTCTTTTCAAAGAAAATGTTTTATCAGTTTACAAACCATTTAATTATTGTCATTTGAACATGAACTAGATGTGTAAAGTATTGATGTCATTTCAGTGCAAAAGCGATGTGCCCATGAAATTGCAATAAGGGGCGATTCACAACTCCTTTGATTTTGTGGTGTAATTTGGTACAAGTTTTGTTACTGTCAGTAAGGACTAGGTTAATGAATAGATATGAACCGTACTCGGCACAGGTGTGTCCTGGAGAGTCCTCATACACCAAATCTCGCTATTGGCAGAAAACAGAAGAAATCAGGTTTAAATATTCCGATAATTGTTCTACTTAAACATTCATTCTACTAGCGTCCCGTTGTCAATATAGTATTTCTTTCTGCTGTTTTAAGACTTTAATGAAGAATATCGCTCTCCGTTATTGCCGTGGTGTATTACTCTATTCCGACCTTGGTCAGCATTTCCAAAGTTCAATTATATTTTTTCTTGAGTACACAAATTTTATCTACCTATGAGAATAATTTTCTTTAGTTCTAAAAGAACCATGTAATTTCGGGGATTTTTTATATTGTCTTTTGTTGTTGTTGTTATTGTCGTTGTCGTCTTCGTTGTTGTTGTTGTTTGCAGCAAATTAACAGACAAAACTACAGCTGTAAGCAAAGTGGGTTTGCCTTCGACCCAGTTTGTATATATATGTATATATGTATATGTGAACTTATCATCTTTTGTGATTTTTATTGGGCTGAGATAGATCGATAGACACCTCCAGCAAATCTAGAGATGATAGCTTGTCTGAATATCGGTTATATCACGTTGAGATATATCTTGTCTGTTTAAGTTGACGCTGTAATGCATTGTGTCTGTGTATTGATGTTGTTTTATATTTTGTCTAATTGAGTTGACGATGTGGTATATTTTGTCTATATGAGTTGACGCTGTGGTGCATTTTGTCTAATGGAGTTGACGATGTGGTATATTTTGCCGAAGTGAGATGACGACGTGGTAAATTTTGTCTATGTGTGTTGACAATGTGATATATTTTGTAAATGTGAGTGAGTGGAGGCTGTGGTATATTTTGTCTATGTGAGTTGACGCTGTGGTGCATTTTGTCTAATTGAGTTGACGATGTAGTATATTTTGCCGAAGTGAGATGACGACATGGTAAATTTTGTCTATGTGTGTTGACAATGTGATATATTTTGTAAATGTGAGTGAGTGGACGCTGTGGTATATTTTGTCTTTGTGTGTTGACAATGTTGTATAATTTCTCTATATGTTTTGACACTGTGATATATTTTGTCTATGTGAGGTGGCGCTGTGGTATATTTTGTCTATGTGAGTTGACGCTGTGGTATATTTCGTCTATGTGAGTTGCCGCTGTGGTATATTTTGTCTATGTGAGGTGGCGCTGTGGTATATTTTGTCTATGTGAGGTGGCGCTGTGGTATATTTTGTCTATGTGAGGTGGCGCTGTGGTATATTTTGTCTATGTGAGTTGACGCTGTGGTATATTTTGTCTATGTGAGTTGACGCTGTGGTATATTTTGTCTATGTGAGTTGCCGCTGTGGTGTATTTTGTCTATGTGAGTTGCCGCTGTGGTGTATTTTGTCTATGTGAGGTGTCGCTGTGGTATATTTTGTCTATGTGAGGTGGCGCTGTGGTATATTTTGTCTATGTGAGTTGCCGCTGTGGTGTATTTTGTCTATGTGAGTTGCCGCTGTGGTGTATTTTGTCTACGGGTGTTGTCATTGTGATATATTTTGTCTATGTTAGTGGATGTTCTTTTATATCCTGTCGTAGATTTGACGCTGTGGTAGAATTTGTCTGTGTTGATGCTGTGGTAGACTTTGTCTGTGTTGACGCTGTGGTAGACTTTGTCTGTGTTGATGCTGTGGTAGACTTTGTCTGTGTGTGTTGACGCTGTGGTAGACTTTGTCTGTGTTGATGCTGTGGTATTTTTTGACTCGGAGTTGACACATTGGTATATTGTTTATCATGTTTGTTCACGCATTCGTCTTTTTTTTCATAACCCATATTTAAGATCTTTGTTGTCATTATTTCAAATTGATTTTTTTCAGAATGTCGATGCTTTTTTTTGTATTTTCAACAGAAATCTATTTTTCAAAAGAATCTAAACTTAGGCGGTAACTACCTGTGGCTAGATTAAGAGATTTGAAGCTTAGATGTAATTTCTTATTTCATATCAGATCATGGCTTGAGACAATCATCACTGTGACAGATACCCAAATACATCTATATTGTCTGGTTATTCAAAGAACATGGTGCGTAAAATGAGAATGCACACAAAATATAACATCAAAGTTTTGTCAGGTCTTTAATGTCTTTCAGCTATGAGTTATTATTTTGAATAGCTTTCTTGTATGTTTCTCATTGCGCGTCTTCAAAGAAACAAGTTATAATAAGATATGTTGTTAACATCGATTTTCTTTTAATTAAGTCACCAGTAAAGTTTGATATGACTTGTATAGACACATCAAAGAACCCATGATAGATATATATGGCAATAGGATATATACCCAAGTAATGAGAGAGAGAGCCGTTTTAAATACATTGACATTGTGGGAATATTTGTTGTACGGATATTGCGTGTTTGGAAACTGATTGTGGGGACAGTGATTATCATGAAAGTAGTGGGGACAGTGATTATCATGAAAGTAGTGGGGACAGTGATTATCATGAAAGTAGTGGGGACAGTGATTATCATGAAAGTAGTGGGGACAGTGATTATCATGAAAGTAGTGGGGACAGTGATTATCATGAAAGTAGTGGGGACAGTGATTATCATGAAAGTAGTGGGGACAGTGATTATCATGAAAGTAGTGGGGACAGTGATTATCATGAAAGTAGTGGGGACAGTGATTATCATGAAAGTAGTGGGGACAGTGATTATCATGAAAGTAGTGGGGACAGTGATTATCATGAAAGTAGTGGGGACAGTGATTATCATGAAAGTAGTGGGGACAGTGATTATCATGATAGTAATGGTATTTTTTAGTAACTGTGAGGAAGTTTACTGTGAGGATATCGTAAGCATGGTCATTATGGTGATATTCAGTGCGGATAATGGTTATGAATGTTGTGATATCCGGATATAGCGATAGTGTGAATACAGATTGTAATGATATTGTGTAGATTATAGATATAGGGACTTTAAATCTGGGATAACGTAGAAATTAATGTGTGATAGTGAATGTGTATGTATTGTTTATATACATTTATACGAGGAAAATCATCAGGGGAATACTGATTGTGTGGATAGTAATTGTGGGGATCATGATTGTGTGGATAGTAATTGTGGGGATCATGATTGTGTGGATAGTAATTGTGGGGATCATGATTGTGTGGATAGTAATTGTAAGGATCATGATTGTGTTAATGGTCGTTGTGGAGATTGTAATTGTGGGGATCATGATTGTGTTAATGGTCGTTGTGGGGATCATGATTGTGTTAATGGTTGTTGTGGGGATTGTAATTGTGGGGATCATGATTGTGTTAATGGTCGTTGTGGGGATCATGATTGTGTTAATGGTTGTTGTGAGGATTGTGATTGTGTTAATGGTTGTTGTGAGGATTGTGATTGTGTTAATGGTTGTTGTGGAGATCATGATTGTGTTAATGGTCGTTGTGGGGATCATGATTGTGTTAATGGTCGTTGTGGGGATCATGATTGTGTTAATGGTCGTTGTGAGGATTTTGATTGTGTTAATGGTCGTTGTGAGGATTGTGATTGTGTTGATGGTCGTTGTGAGGATTGTGATTGTGTTGATGGTCGTTGTGAGGATTGTGATTGTGTTGATGGTCGTTGTGGGGATCATGATTGTGTTAATGGTCGTTGTGAGGATTGTGATTGTGTTGATGGTCGTTGTGGGGATCATGATTGTGTTAATGGTCGTTGTGAGGATTGTGATTGTGTTGATGGTCGTTTTGAGGATTGTGATTGTGTTAATGGTCGTTGTGGGGATCATGATTGTGTTAATGGTTGTTGTGAGGATTGTGATTGTGTTAATGGTCGTTGTGGGGATCATGATTGTGTTAATGGTCGTTGTGGGGATCATGATTGTGTTAATGGTCGTTGTGGGGATCATGATTGTGTTAATGGTCGTTGTGGGGATCATGATTGTGTTAATGGTCGTTGTGAGGATTGTGATTGTGTTGATGGTCGTTGTGGGGATCATGATTGTGTTGATGGTCGTTGTGAGGATTGTGATTGTGTTGATGGTCGTTGTGAGGATTGTGATTGTGTTGATGGTCGTTGTGAGGGTTGTGATTGTGTTAATGGTCGTTGTGAGGATTGTGATTGTGTTGATGGTCGTTGTGGGGATCATGATTGTGTTAATGGTTGTTGTGAGGATTGTGATTGTGTTAATGGTCGTTGTGGGAATCATGATTGTGTTAATGGTCGTTGTGGGGATCATGATTGTGTTAATGGTCGTTGTGGGGATCATGATTGTGTTAATGGTCGTTGTGGGGATCATGATTGTGTTAATGGTCGTTGTGAGGATTGTGATTGTGTTGATGGTCGTTGTGAGGATTGTGATTGTGTTGATGGTCGTTGTGAGGGTTGTGATTGTGTTAATGGTCGTTGTGAGGATTGTGATTGTGTTGATGGTTGTTGTGAGGATTGTGATTGTGTTGATGGTCGTTGTGAGGATTGTGATTGTGTTGATGGTCGTTGTGAGGATTGTGATTGTGTTGATGGTCGTTGTGAGGATTGTGATTGTGTTGATGGTCGTTGTGAGGATTGTGATTGTGTTGATGGTCGTTGTGAGGATTGTGATTGTGTTGATGGTCGTTGTGAGGATTGTGATTGTGTTGATGGTCGTTGTGGGGGTTGTGATTGTGTTAATGGTCGTTGTGAGGATTGTGATTGTGTTAATGGTTGTTGTGAGGATTGTGATTGTGTTAATGGTTGTTGTGAGGATTGTGATTGTGTTAATGGTTGTTGTGAGGATTGTGATTGTGTTAATGGTTGTTGTGAGGATTGTGATTGTGTTAATGGTCGTTGTGGGGATCGTGATTGTGTTAATGGTTGTTGTGGGGATCATGATTGTGTTGATGGTCGTTGTGAGGATTGTGATTGTGTTAATGGTCGTTGTGAGGATTGTGATTGTGTTGATGGTCATTGTGAGGATTGTGATTGTGTTGATGGTCGTTGTGAGGATTGTGATTGTGTTGATGGTCGTTGTGAGGATTGTGATTGTGTTGATGGTCGTTGTGAGGATTGTGATTGTGTTAATGGTCGTTGTGAGGATTGTGATTGTGTTGATGGTCGTTGTGAGGATTGTGATTGTGTTGATGGTCGTTGTGAGGATTGTGATTGTGTTGATGGTCGTTGTGAGGATTGTGATTGTGTTAATGGTCGTTGTGAGGATTGTGATTGTGTTGATGGTCGTTGTGAGGATTGTGATTGTGTTGATGGTCGTTGTGGGGATTGTGATTGTGTTGATGGTCGTTGTAGGGGTTGTGATTGTGTTGATGGTCGTTGTGGGGGTTGTGGTTTTGTGGATAGTCGTTGTGAGGATTGTATGGATAATCACCCTGGGGTACAATGATAATTATGGTAGCCTGCATCACCTGTCAATCAGGTATAATTATTGTCTATAATATTTGCTCGGTGTTTTAATTCCGGTCCGGATATTGTTTGTATTCAAAGTCCATGACGTTTTGAACTAAAGACAGACTTTTAATCATCTTGATACATAATTAAAAAGTACAAATTCTTACACAATGAACTGTAATAAGAGCTATGATATGATCACGGATTTTTCCATCTATATATTACATTTACATTGTGTTAGGAACCATTAATTAACAGGTGTAGAAATCACTTTAACTTTTACCATTGGTCGAGTCCATAGATTTTAATTGTTTTGTATATAATTCCATTCTTGTACTTTAAATGTATAAAAATGGAAAAAAACCCACATTTTCCTGCAACTTGATATACAGGGAGGGTGTAATAGCGACACATTTCAAAAGGGACGAGAAATGTTGACAATACAAATAGTTAACAATGATAATAAATAACACATTTAAAAGTGACAACACGGAGCTCACAACTGAATTAATAGATATAGGAACTGTAAAGTATAATGATACTATTAATAGACACAAGAGATAGTCCATCAGACATGTACAGTTATAAAATGATATTCTATTGTAGCCATGTCTTTAATACAACATTTAGTATGTAGATATAAATCTAATATACACGGACATCTGTCTACTAACCATAGAATACATATCGCTGATAAACATCATGATGACAATTCAGGTAGGCGTTTGCATGCAAATATCTCTGCAAATCAGAATTAATATCATTTTAAAAGATTCGTCAGTAAACAACATTGTCGTCAAAAAGTGAGATATTGGAGTGACTTGCACCTTTAGATACTCTCGTAAAGGACATCCATCCCGAGATATATATAACCAATTATTTGGGATTATTCCATTTCCTTGTGCGATGTAAAGTTAGACGTGTCTGATGCTCCTAAGTATGTCTGGGCGTTCCGTTGTTGTTTACTTCGTTCTCATTTGGGAATGTGGTATTACTTGCATGGATTGGCCAAGATTGCCATAGCGGGTGAAGCAGAAGACGCTTGCTCATCCATGACACATGGTCTTATTATCCTTGTACTATCAGGAGTATCCTTGTAAACTTTTCGTCTGTTCATATTTTGCAAATGTTTCAGTTTAGATTAAAATTATATTGACAGGTTTTTTCTTTGCTGTGTGTGTGTGTGTGTTTTTTTTTACTTCGCTTCATCAATTTCTTATCTGAATTACAATTTTTGCAAACATGCCATTGCTTCCTTGTTCATTTAGATAAACATCATTGTACAAAGATAATTGAACTGCGTGCAATTTTGTATTGTTAAATACAAATAGTCCTGATCATTTCCGTGTGACCAGGAATGAAAGTTAACCGAATTACCGTATTAATAGTTGGAAATTTGAACTCAATAATGGTGTTGACAGAAATATGATCTAGTCTTTGAAAATGCGAAAAACCAGTGTATTATATACTTTCCCACGGTAATGTGTATACATTTATACAACTAAATATGGCATCAAACTTTTGACTTCATATTAATTCGATTTTATATTGTGATTTGCCTGAAGTGTCACTTCCTGTCGGCCGGGTGACTGTATGTATTTCCCAGGTTTTGTATTGGCTTCTATGCAAAGCACACATTACATCCAAGTGTCTTGAATACACAACGGTATGTAAAAAATGGAAGCTATTTTGAAAATGCGATAATACTTGAAGTTAATTATGTATTGGGAGTCGATAAGATACCGCGGCGAATTTAGCATTTAGTTTACATTTTCACGGATTTCTGTAACTCTTAAACACGCCCTAGTCAATTCAGGGTATGAATACATGTCTATTGTATGCGCATGTGTCCATCTTCGGTCGCCTTTTTGCCATTTTATTTAGGTCAGACCTTCGCGTCGTTTGCCCAGAGGGTCAGTGGTGTCCGGGATAAACATCTTCCTGACCCACATTATTTCGTGGTACTGAAGTTCACACTTGTACAGTTCACTGCATCAGGCTAAGACTGCGACCTACTTCTAAGATTTGTGATTTCTCATTCATTCGTTCCATTATTTTACGCTTAAATACGGATATTGTAACGAATTGTTACGTTTGTAACTCGCTTCACTATTTAGTTCATCTTCATTAATTGTGCAGTGTTATAGTATTACTTGTATATGAGTTTGTATTTAAATGTGTTACATTATATGTCTTCTTAACGATCTTTGTGTGATGCAATAAAATATTTAATGTTCGCATCAGGATTTTTTTTCTGATATTAGATCGTATCACTTTTTATCAAAGAACCGCGAATTACAAAGAAATAATTTCAAATGGGTCAACTTTAAATGTCATGTGAATAAAGTAAAAAAAATACTCTCTTAAACAAGGATATAACCTGCAGTTGTGTAGCACGCCTTCAGCACGTGGAGTTATGCTCTAGCTTGTTGATTCTTACGTCAGTGTGCTTAGTGGGATTAGATGTGTGACAGTCGATCACGATTTTTAAGAAGTAGAGTGGCAATGTTGTGAAATTGTCCACCTGTCCGGTGTGTGTGATCGGTCATATAACATTCATCAACAGTGTAGTTTCTAGTGTAGCCTGATAGAATGGGTTTAGCTGTTTCACCGACGGGGTGAAATAGTGCATGTTTCGCTACTATCGAGATATGAATGTTACTGCGATAGTACCAGTCTATCTATGTATAGTAAGCTTGAAAAGAAAATGACGAAAGATTATCAGGAACGAAAATTGTTTTAACATTCTGTACTGAAGGGCCTCATTTCAACGTTATCTTGATTACTTTTGGTTTTATTCGTCAAACGGTGGGCGAAAACCCTGAACACTGGGGGTTTTTTTGTAAAATCATTTCGGTTTTTATAGGTCTATCTAATTCTAGGGTAGATCAAACGGTACATGACCCACTTCTCCAATGACCAGGTCAGCAGAGATAAGGTAACTAATAAGACTTAGAGAGGTCAGTCAGTGGTGATACGTTTGCACCTAAGTAAACACAGGTCCAGCAAACGATATCAGCTTGACCTGTCAAGGAAATCTATAGTCTTGATTGCAATTTATTTTGGGTCTCCTTATCTAGGAGAGTGCTTTTAATTATAGTTTACATTTTGTATCAGGTTAAAGAACCTGCTATCTAACAGCGAAATAAAATATGTCACGAATATTTTTTTATCTTCAAAAATAATCCGACCTTACTTGTGGTGATGACTTCTAACAGCATATTCGATATGATGATTTTTATATACAACATCGTAAACGTTTTATTTTCAACTTTTGAGTGAATTAAAATCACAAAACTCAGGAAGATTGAAAAATGTTTACCGCCTCAAACACTATCAAAATTGGAATTATCGCTGTGAAAAACTATATTTTTGATATTGAAATAGTTCAATATCAGACACAGTAATGTAAAGTATCGGCTAAGGTGCTGTTCTATAATGACGTTATTTAGTGTTCTGTTACTCCGACTTGTCTCATGTTGTTTATAAAAGGTCGAAAATAGCAACACTTAAGTTATACAGTATTGGGAAGTAAATATCGAATTCCCTAATCACACAGTCCTCAACAGAATAACAAAGCAATTTCATTGCTTAATGGTACTATATATATATATATTTCTTTATTTAGTATCAAGATATGCAAATATATTTGTAGATAAATATACAAAAATACCTTATTTATTTTTGGCCTGTAGCATTTGCATATGTAAATGTCTGTGGTATCTATCCCACATATAGACATTAACATCGATCCGTAATCATCAGCACGAAGTTGATTCTATTTATGTTACGATATGGTAATTTTAAACATTAAAATTAAAGTTCAAGTGAACACTTGTAAATACAAAAAAGTGAAATGAAACGTAACGAGTTAGTCATTATACATACACATCTCGACCTGTAAAGGTAACGGTTCTACCTGGAGGACACAGGTATAAGAATATTTAAGAAATAGCTTGCTTCGATACCCAGGTACTATTGATACTGCTTTTATAATCAATTAGTTCTGTTACGATATGTTCCCTGTAAACGGTGAGGGAATGGCGGAAATTTTAAATGTCTAAGATTCATCACACAAAGTCAAACATATCACTAAGCAATAACTTAGTCAATTGTATGTAGGACGCGGGAAACTCACCAATAACTAAATAAATAGATTTTCAGGCTTGGATACAAAGACTGGTGACGACTTCCACAACCTCATATCAGTGTTATATATATATATTTATATATATATATAAGGACTGCTACTCATTTCTAAATCATACTTATTAAATATATATGTCTCTTTGGTTGTCCGTTTTAATTTGTTTACTTATATGATTAATAAGTATGATTTAGAAATGAGAAGCAGTTCTGTTCAAACTTCGTCCCCGATGACCCCTGCGATCAAATCCAACACACGTGTCGGTATCCTTATCGCCATAGGCCCTTAGCGTCACTAAAGAGTCCAAAAAGGACGAAACAGCTGTATGGTGCACACTTTAATTCATAATTTGGCAACAGTATATCGGATTCTAAATTTGTATTAACTTGGATGACTTTAGTTTAGTCCTCACGTGACTTCTGTGGGTTGAACATTGGATCATACAGTTCAATGTTTAATAATCTCAGTGTCGACAATTAAGTCAAAATTGTCGATCGGCATGTCCTTCATTGGCAGATACACAGAACTGAAGTGTTGTTACATTTTCAAAACATTATAACGATATGTCTACAAATTTCTGTGTATGCTACCAGTTCCAAATATTGAGAACATGAAGAATGGTCGCTTTACTGCAGTAAGCTGAAAACTACGCTTGTCTCCTTGACAAGATGAAGTTAATAAATAAAGATATTTCCTTCAAGTAGTGTTTAAATTCTTCAAACAAAGTCAGTGATTTGTAGTTTATCTGACAAACAAACTGAAAACACCTTTCACGTTTTAAGTCATTCGAATAGTCTTGACATTACCAATTATCAGATATGTGAAGATTACTTGTTTCTTGAATTACA